GAGGAGGACGAGGACGAGGAGGACGAGGACGAGGACGAGGACGAGGACGAGACGAGGACGAGGACGAGGAGGACGAGGACGAGGACGAGGACGAGGACGAGGAGGACGAGGACGAGGAGGACGAGGACGAGGAGGACGAGGACGAGGACGAGACGACTGCAAAAGAGAGACGGCGAGGGAGGCAAAAGAGAAAGAGAGAGGCGGCAAAGAGGACGGTGACGTCACGGCGGCGAAGGACTGAAAGGGAGTGAACGACGAGAACGGGAATGTGGGACGAAGGCAGCGCTAAAGAAGACGGAGAAAGACGACGACTAGGTTAAAGGCCAGTTTATGCCCGGGCAAAGAAGCCGGGGGAAAAGGAGACGGGGCGACTATGAAGCGGAGGGGACACCCGGGCAGAAACTTGGGGCCAGCCGGTGCCCGAACGGAAGACGGAGAGGGAAGGGGAGAGAGAGGGGGGAGGATCGACTGATAGAGACGCAGGAGACAGCGATAGACAAAGGGATTCCCCGCATTCTGACATTACAATTAATCAGGCCCCAGTGTTGGTAACAGAGAGATCTGGGCGAGGCCTGACGGGGCGGGGGCAAGCGGGGGCAGGCGGGGGCAAGCGGGGCAGGCGGGGGCAGGCGGGGGGCAGGCGGGCAAGCGGGGCACGGGGGGCAAGCTGGGGCGCTGCGTCGCGCGGCGCGGTGCCTCGGACCCATGACGCTCGGAAGGCCAGGCTGGCAAGGCCGGCAAGGCCTTCCCTCCCGCCGCCATTGGCTCCAACTGCCCGGCCCCGCCCGCTCCTCATTGGACGATGCATCAAAGCACGGCCACGTCCAAGCTGCGCCCCCGGCATCTCCAAACTTAGAATACTCCTCGAAAAAGAAGATGCGAGAAACCATGGTGTTTGAGCATTGCATGCTGAGATTTTGATGACATCACACAGGAATAAGACTCCAGCGCGCTGCAGCTGACACTGCCGCAGCAAGTCCAAAAGCGGTCGTCTCTCTCTGTCTCTCTGTCTCTCTGTCTCTCTGTCTCTGTCTCTCTCTCTCTCTCTCTCTCTCTCTGTCTCTCTCTCTCTCGCTGCGGGTGGCAGGTGCTAACCCGCGACGACGCGCCGCGACGCGCCGTGTTGGCCGTGGAGTTTTAATGTCGAAAAGCGGTCCTGGGGCGAGACTGGCGGGACTGGCGAGAGTAAGCAGCTTTTCAGGTGTGGGCGAGGAAAGACACTTGGAGGGGCTCAGGTGCGCGGGGCCCGCGGGGGCGTGGGGGTGGCGCGCCTTGGAGGGGGGGGGGGAGAGTAGGTAGACCAGCGACGTCAGAGTCGGAAGCAGGCGCCACGACCAAAGGGAGAATAAAATTCAGGAGGACTTTTAATTTCCAGGGTGATAAAGATCTGGCAGTGTAGTTACGAGCCCCCTCCCTTTGCAGGGCACTGCAGAGGCCTGGACTGGGCCTGGAGCGTGATTCCCGGTAATGCAGAAGGTGCAGCCAGACAAGCTTCTTCCATTCCACTGTAAGAGGAAATGTGGGCAGCCCACGCGGCGCGCTCCGGCAGGGAGGGGGTGAGGAAAAGGGGAGGGGGGGGGCAGAGTGCAAGCATGTATCCTGGTCTGCAGAACGGCCTCTCCGCGGACGGACAGCAAAACATTTCTGAGTCTGAATCGGCAGCCGCAAAAACGCGCGCTGAATTGTGACAGGCAGGCCTTACCGGCGGTACACAGTGGACCGGAGGCGGCGGGCAAAATCCCGGACGCGTTTTGAGCTCCAGAGTCGCTAAATGGGACTCGAACCGAACATGTGACCCCACCAATGGATTGCTCTTCGAACGCGGATGGTGGGGCCACACGTTCGGTTCGAGTCTTGCTTAGCGACTCCGGGGCTCAAAACGCGTCTGGGGTTCTGGCCGCCCCCACCGACCGGTCTTCTGGCCCACTGTGCGGCGCTGCCTCGGCGCTGCCGGGCGCTGCACTGTCACTGGGCCGTGCCCGCCGTGCCGGGCCGTGTCGCGTCCGATCCTATCTGCCTGCCTTACGGCCGCCTTACGGCCGCCTTACGGCAGACGGTGGCGCCGCGTCACTAGCTGTATACATTACAACTTTTTTTTTCGTCCCGACTTTCAAGAAGTGCGTGCCTCGTCGCGCCTCGCCGCGCCTCGCCGCGCCGCCCAGAATTTAGGGACATAAAAGTTTTATCGAGTCATTTCCCGGCGTCCCCCTCCCCTCGCAGTGTGTCGTACATTAATTCGGCGTGAGCACGTTTCCGGCCAGGACGGCGTCGAGCGGGGCCGCGCCGTCTCTGTCGCACTCGCGGCGCGGCCCGTCGGTGCGCGAGCGAGACGGAGCGAGACGGAGCGGCGGCGGTGCGGAGTCGGTCGGCCGGGCCGGCCCAAGGTCGCCTCGTCTTCAGTGCCGCTATTTGTTTATTGCTGCCGGGAATGAATATTAAGAAGGCCGCAAATTTGCCGCCACACTGCAGGGCCTGGCCGAGGCACTGCCGGGGCGGGGCTCCTAAAAGTGTCGCGCAATAAGTAGTGCGGGAAATGGATTGCACTTGTTGTTGGCCGGGGGCCCCGCCGGGGGCTCGATCGAGGGGGCGTGCACCAATGACAGTTTTGTGAAACAGTCCCCGCTTTTAATGCCGCTTTCAGTAACGACTGTCGAAAACACGCCAAAATGTCGTGCGTCAAGAGGAGCCCCTGTGAGCTCCGGCGTAGGCAACCCGCGCACTCGGATCCGTTGCGGGCTTGCCCACCCATTGCCATTACCATTGCGGGCTAGCCGGGCTCTCCAGGGACCGCACACAACAGAGGGGCAAACAACTTCGTTTAAATTTGTACACCGTTATTACGAATTCACGTTATTTCATTCTCATTTCAAGTGCATTTCAACGTTAATTCGCGTTTTTTCGCTCTATTTCACCGTTATTTCAACGTTATTGTGCGTTATTTCACCGTTATTTCAAGGGAAGTACGCCAAAATTCTATTTGTTTGCCCCTCGCACACAACAGAGCGAAGCATTTGTCGACACATCATCTTGTCATTTTTAACGCCATCATTAGAAACAAATTGATTTGAACGAGTGCGCTAGAGTAAATGTTTTGGCGTTTCTTTTTCCCGAGTGTCGGAGCACAGAGAACGACGAGGCCCGAAGTCGCCCCAGAGACAGTTCCGCGGCCGAGCGCGCCGGGCGGGCGATTGCCTGGGACGGCGCGTCCTACTGGAGGGCAAGCAGTGGCGGTTTATGGCCGCTGTAGGGCAAAACCGTTCACTTGGTGGAGTTGCTCGTGATATCTGGACGGAGAGAAGCCGAGCGGAACGGAGCCGTGGAGGACACTTCCCGGAACTGGCAGGAGGAGGGACACTGTTCGCGGAAATCACCCACGATGTCGCGATGGCGAGGGCATGGAAGATGGTGTGCCGATTTCTGTTCTAGCTTTCGCCCCGATATACCTTTTTCGATGTCAACGATTTTTTTCTTGCATATACAAAAGGTTTTGGTGAATTTCTCTATTTTAGGAGGAATGTAGAAAGGGGAGTTTTATTTCCCCCACCCTTTTGGCTGCGTAAGTACATTGTATGTTCCAGAGCCGGAGTGCATATTCAACTCACGTCGCGTGTTTCTTGTCGCACTCCAGCAGAAGAAAACGCTGCCACTTTGTTTGGGGCAGTGTCGCCATCGCAGTGTGCCCCACTGGTGCTTCAGAAGCCCCTAATATCACCAGCGCAATACACTCTACGTTTCATTCGTGTTTTAGTCCGCCCTTCTTTGTTCTCGTGTGGTGGCCGACATTGCGGGGCTCTATTTATTCCCCTCTCCGCCCCCGCCCGCCCCCAGCACACGCCCCCAGCCCGCCCCCAGCACACGCCCCCTCCGAGCCACCTTGGGGAAGGGCGCGGCGTGGCGAGGGGCGGCGAGGGGGTTGGCGCGGCGGAAGGGTTGGTGGGGGCCTTGGGGCTGGTGGGGCGGGTGGGGGTTGGTGGGGGCCTTGGGGCGTGGGGGGTGGGGTTGGTGGGGCCGGGGGCGGGTGGGGGGCGTGCGGGAAGTAACGAGCTCCGCCATTGGTGGGCTGGGGCGCCCATTCAAGCCCGGAGCCCACCACCCCGCCCCGCCCCGGCCCACCCCGCCCCGCCGCGCCGTACGCTCGCTACGCTAGCCTGGGTCGTAGTGGCGGGGTGGGGCGGGAGGGGGAGGGGGCCCAGTCCCTGCCAGTCTCCCAGTGGAGGCGACGTTGGGGTGGTCGCGGGGGTGCTGGGGCCGTGGCTGGGGCCGTGGCTGGGGCCGTGGCTGGGGCCGCGCCGAGCTTCGCCATGCGTCCGTCCACGAGAGGGTGGCGCCACCGGTCGGTTTTACGCACGCACGGAACAAAGAGGAGGCCGGCTCGCCACGGCCAGGCCGCTCGGTCGCAACGGCGCCTCTCCACCCGCCTCGGGCCGCCCCAACCCACCCCCAGCCGCCCCCAAGGACGCCCATTCAGAGCCCTGCAGCCTGCAGCGTGGTTCCGATCCGAAACCCACCAGCAGCAGCGGACCGAAGCCCCTCCATCCCTTTGACTCGCTGCTCTATGTCGGCTTGTCGCACTGCTGGACTTCTAGACCCCCGTCCGTTTTCCGAATAGTCATGGCATTGGTGAGCCGACGCGAGCACAGGCGTGCAAACTTCGATTTAGTTAAAGACCCAAAGGCAGAACTTCGCTCTGCCTCCGAAACCCCGTCACCCTCATCCTGCGACCCTCTTTGAATCGGTCAGTGTGTGCGATGAGAGCAGTTGGGCGACGCGCACTGGGTCGCGCTGTGCGCAGGCTGTACCCCGCGCCCCCAGGGTGACTGGGAACGCGGGGTATCTCCGCAACCGATTCGCCGACACCCCGCGACGCGACACTGCCACTGTCACCGAGCAGTACAGCCGACGAGACCGAGCAAGCCGCTGAACAAGCAAAGGACAGCGCAGATCGTGATTCTTGTTGGAAGAAAAGGGGAGTGGGATTTGTTCAGACAACCAACACCATGTCGTATCAAACGAATGAAAAAAATGTTTATTTCTTATGACGCGTGTCATAGTAAATACAGTATTGGTTTAGAAGTTACGTACACCCCTCGAGCATTTTAGTTATTCTAAGAAGACTTATTTACACATTCACTCTCCTCGACGCAACTTTCTTTCTTGCGGCTCTTTGATGGGGTTTTTCCTGTAGGTGCTGGCCTCCCTGTCGAGCGTCCGCTTGATGCCCCTCAGCACGAGGGGGTAAACACTTCACGAAATCGTGTACAGACTACTCGGTATTACGCTGTATTACGGGTGTATTACACGTGTCTTACGGCCCTAAAATGCCGAAATTTGGCACATTTGACCCAAAAATGGTATTACGATCACGTGTATTACGCGTAATACATGGTTTTTGTGTACAGGGTATTACGCGAGTGGTTACCCCCTCGCCTCAGCATGAGGCCCTGGGCCCTTGTGGGTGTCCTCGGTGGGCTCGTCGTTGGCGTCCATCACCTGGGCAGGGCAGGAGGTGAGCACACCGGGTTACCGCCGCACAGTGTGCCAGAAGGCCGGTGAAGGCGGCCAAAATCCAGGACGCGTTTCGAGCAGCAGTCGCGCTAAATGGGCTCGAACTGAACGTGTGACCCCACCAATGAATTCCTCTTTCGGGGAGCAATCCATTGATGGGGTCACACGTTCAGTTCCAGGCCATTTAGCGACTGTGGAGCTCAAAACGCGTCCAGAGTTTTGGCCGCCTCCACTGTGCCCAGAGTACAGTTCGTGTTTGCTTTGGACTCTCACCTGGACCAGGAACATGCGGCGCACTCTGTTGGACAGGTTGAGGTAGCTGCCGTGCAGCAGCAGGTAGGAGAAGATAACGATCTCGCCCTTCTTGGCGGTCACGGGGGTGGCGCCCTCGATGGGGAACCGGGCGGGATCGCACCAGTAGTAGACGAGCCCGTTGGCCACGTTCTTCTGCGAGGGCAGGGGGCCCAGCTTGTGGGAGCCGGGGTACACGCAGAGGCCGCCGTTCTCAGGGGTGGTGTCGTCCATGTGGAGGAACACCGCGCACATGGAGTGGTTCTTGTAGGGGAAGTAGGGGTAGTCCTGCAAGGATGAATTTTTGTAAAGTTTTATGTTGTTCCCGTCCCGGTTAGTTTCAAAGAAAGCCCTAATCATACAAATTTTTATAGTGCTTTAATGGCCTCAATGATGCAAATGCAGACAAAAAGTCCCATCCGAGATAAAATTGCTTCTCTGGTTGTACTTCAAACGGTCAGAGGAATTTTTCTCGAGTTGAAACACCAGCCTCTGCTCACCTGGTGCATGAGGTAGGGTGCCCCTTTCTCCGTGGGCTTGATGTGGGCCTTGGTGTGGTGCAGGGCGATGTTTTCGGTTCCCATCACGTCCTCCAACGCGTCGAGGAGCTTCTCGTTCATCAAAAACTTGTGGAACTTCTCGGAGAACATCTGAAGGCCGTGGAGTGACAAAACCTGCAAAAGCAGTGCAAGAACGGGATTCCAGAAGCACTCTTGAGAATTTCATGTCATTTTTTGGTCGGAATATTTTTCTGTTCTTGCTACTTACGCTCATTTTCTTGTCGTTGGTGGCCTTCTTCATGTCATCTCCAACCCAGGAGGAGTCCATGTCGTCGCTGGCCTGCAGGCGGAACAAAAGGTCATACTCCTCGGACAGGGCGTCGATCTCGGCCTTCTCCAGGACGTTGATCTTGATGAAGCCATTGTCCTTGTAGAACTGGACCTCTTCGGGAGTCAGGAGTTTCGGCATTGTGACTGTTCCTTTAAGACATAAAGAGATCTGTAAGCAAAGAGACAGAGAGTTGGCTTGAAAAATGCGCAAGTTCTACGCCTGCTTACCGTTTGAATGCGTGGGTGCCACTGAGCGATCGACTGCCGACTGTTCGCCGGGCCTGCTGAGCTGCAAACTTCGCGGAGAAATTGTTTTCTTCAGCGGGGGAGGAAGAAAGAAGTTACGTCATTCGAGCTCTCTCTTTCTTCCTCTCTCCGTGTTTACCGAGGGCCCAGTAGTTCGGCACGGGATCGGGAAAGGTCAAAGGAGATAAGCTGTGCTGTCACTGAGTTTAGAAAGCGGAGTGAAAACGGCGAGATATTTTGGGCGTGGTATCAGTGAAAAGCTGCTGAGCTGGGCTTTGAAGGGCGTTTGGGAAAGTGGTGCGATTACGATCACTTGCATTGTTGTTCAGCTCATGCCAAAGACAAAATCAGGCGCTTTTCTAAAGCTTGGCAAAAAATCACGAAATTAAATAAATTTGATCATTACATTAAACGCTTAATGCAATGGGCCGCTAAGATTTGGCGAGTGAATACCCCTACCTTTCATACCTCTGATTCAGAATTCAGAATAGTTTGAAGCCTGTCTATTCACCCTGGTTTTTGGCCCGTCCCGTTTATTTTTTGTAAAAAAATGACGGAGGGACGGGCATATAGTATGATGCATGCTGTGCGTCCGTTCGTTCGTTCGTTCGTTCGTTCGTCCGTTCGTTCGTTCGTTCGTCCGAGGACTTCCCGTGGTCCGATCTTGACCAAATTTGGTATGCAGCCTCCTTGGGTGACCCTAAGAACCGCCCGGTGGCAGCAAATCCGATCCGAGCCCCGGGGGCGCTGCTGCAGGTGCATCATGGTCTACATGGGGTCGAGGAGGATCTCGGCAACGGATGCAGCTAGGAGGGCATGTAGGGGTATTTTTGGAATCGGGGCGACGAGAGAAAACCAATGGTGCCAGTTTCGAGCAAATCGGAGAAGTTCGGACCCGGGTTCAAATCCCAGCGGGGTATTTTTGGAACATTCTTTTTATTCGAGTTTTTGCATTGTTTCTGATGTTTATGAGGGTGCTGATGACGAAAACGACATTTATTTTAACCCCAGACTCAGATTTAATTCCCGTCAGGGTCAAACATAGGAGAAATTCGTACGTTTCTTAATGTACGGGACGGGCCAAAGTTGCCGATGTATATCGCTACTTTTCCTGTTATCCTTATACCAGCTCAGGCCCGAAAAGCAGAGGATCATTTGAGAACCATGTTTGTTCAAGTAAGTCACATGCTTTGCTAGCGCTCCTGGTGGAGATGCTTTCCTACGCTACACTGAGTATCTCTGAGCCCGGACCATACTCCACGTTCGCAGAGAAACTGGGCTTCCCACTGCCACGCCGATACCCCACGCCGCCTTCAAGAGAGCCGATGAAATCGCCTCTTCCTCTTCCACCGAGCACCTGTTGTCTGGTTGTCTCAAATATGCCGACGGACGTGAGTAGAAACAAAACCGATTGGGTAGATCGGATTCGTGTTAAAAGTTGCATTGCTTCAGAGTTGTGTGTGAACTTGGAGGGACAGCAAACTGAATCCACCACTGCCAGTTCGTAAATTCTGTGAGTTTGGTGATCTTGATGCCAGGGAACTGAGAGAATTTATTGCCAGAATGTTGCAGAGTTGTAACTTTCTAATTTCTGAGTTCCAAGTTTCGAGTCACAGTTTGTTCCAAGGCTGAATGAATGAACAGACTCGTTTCACGTTTTCCTGATGACTGATTTATTTGACGGCATTTGAACAGCAAAGTAAACATCAGTGAGAAGAAGTGGGGAATAACATACAAAACAAAAGCAACACGGCAGTGTGCCAACTTCGACAAACAAAATTTAGCAAGTAAAAATATGACAAATTTAACACTCCCCCTTAAATTTTGAATTAACATTTCAAAGCAACATGTCGAATTTAATGATCAACTTACAGACATGACAATAGACGACAGATATGTACATTAAAAATAACAGCACATAAAATATTTGCAATAAAATAACAAGCATTGACAATTTGGCAATGGACGAATAAAATTTACATTAGGTGAAAACAACATAGACTATAAAAAGCATAACAATAAACTCAGGCATAAATGCTGACATTTACAACAACAATTATAACAAGGACTAGATTGGGTTTACAGGACAAACATTAGCGAGTACACTTGAATGCAAAAATATTACAATGCCTTTAAGAAAAACAATTTAACCATAACGTTAAAAAGGTAAGAACAGAGCAATAATTCAAGTGAGAGAGGACTAGGTCAAATACTTTGAGCGCATACCTAACAAATCTCTGAAACGTAGGAATGAGTCCCTCTTAAGTCCTTTAGTAAGTATATCAGCCTTCTGATGCTCAGATGGCACATACATCACTGAAATAACATTATCATCTTGTAGCTGTTTGGTGATGTGGTACTGTACATCCACAGATTTGAGCCTCTTCTGCTCCCATTTCTGCAGACAGTGGATAACAGATGTATTATCTTCGTAGACAGCTATGGGTAGCTCTAAGTCAGGTACAATGTCGCTCATCAAATTCTTGAACCAGATCAGTTCGGTACAGGCAGAACCTAAGGATACATATTCTGCTGCGGTTGATGAACCTGCGACAACTCTTTGCTTCTTAGTGCACCATATGACGATGTTGCCAAAAACTCTGAAAAGGTATCCAGATGTCGACAACCTATCGTCAACATCTCCAGCCCAGTCAGCATCAGCAAAGCATTCAATTGGAGGTCGTTGCTCTCTGCGATGGTAGTAGATTCCCATATCCTTGGTACCTTTGAGGTATTGGAGGATTCGGACCAATCCAAGCCATTGGGCATGAGTAGCATTGTGCTGGTAGCGACTGAAGAAATTTACAGCAGCACTAATGTCAGGGCGGGTGCACAGCATCAGGTACATGAGAGCACCAATCAACTCACGATACGGGCGGCTTCCCAAAATGCATGGGCCAGCCAGGCATCGCGGTGGGTCACTTTCCATTGGGGTGTCGATTGGGTGGCACTCCTCCATGCCATACTTCTCAAGTAGCTTCTGAATGTATCCGGGTTGTGACAGGAACATTCCATCAGCAGTGCGATTGATTTCCATTCCCAAAAAGTTGTGGAATCCAAGGTCCTTCATGGGAAATTCCTTCATCAATTTTTCCTTGATTTGAGTCATGGCGTGGAAGGAGTTACTGCAAATCAACAAGTCGTCAACGTAAAGCAACAGATAGACAACTGTGTTACCTGACTTGTAGTGGTACAGGCATTTGTCATAGGGCGATCTGGTAAAGCCAAGCTTCTTCAAGAACGAGTCAAATCTCTCATTCCATTGGTGGGATGCTTGCTTCAATCCATAGAGAGATTTCTTCAACTTGCATACCAGATTTTCGCCTTGAACAAATCCAGGAGGTTGTCTCATATAGATTTCTTCCTTTAACTCTCCGTGTAAGAAAGCATTCTGGACATCTAGGTGAACAGCTGTGAACCCAAAATGATTAATCACAGACAACAAGGTTCTTACAGTGACCATTTTTGCAACTGGAGCATAGGTGTCAGAATCCTTGTAGTCGACGCCAGCTTTCTGAGAACACCCTTTTGCCACAAGGCGTGCCTTGGGACGATCAATTTCTCCTGCGGCGTTCATCTTCATCTTGAACAACCATTTACAATTGATTGCCTTCCGTCCAGGTGGAAGTGTGGTTAGTTCCCAGGTGCCGTTCTTGACTAATGCGTCCATTTCTTCTTTAGCAGCTCGTTCCCAGAGATGCTTATCTTCACGGAGTCGAATATCTTCAAAGGTTTCAGGGGCGCCTTCAACTATGGCTGACATTGCACTTGCATATGTAACATAGTCTTCCAGGTACGAAGGCTTCTTGACATTTCTTCCAGATCGAGTGCGTACGGCAGGGTCAGGAATGACAACATTGTCTGCTGCTCCCCCTGAATCCGTACGTGGATGTGTTTCTTGATGCGGCAGTTCTTCTTGTTGAGGAGGGCGCTGAGTAGTCTCGACTTGTTGCTCGAGACTCCTCCAGTCGATCTCTCGATTCAGTTGAGCTTCTTGTTCAGGTTCTGATTGCGGTTCATAACCAGTAAACAAATCTTCTGGTATGGCTGCTGAGGCATCATAGAATTTCATCTCATCGAAAACAATGTCTCTTCCTTGAATCACAGAGTTGCTGTCTGGATCCCAGAGTCTGTACCCATTTGGACAATATCCAACCAAGTAGTACTTCTCACTTCTGGGCGCAAACTTTCCTCCAACCAGTTGTTTTGGTACTTTCAGGTAGGCCAAACAACCAAACACTCGAAGCTTGCTGAGGTTGGGCTTCTCTCCGTACCAAACTTCCGCTGGGACTTTGTCAGTCAGTGCAGCTGTTGGAGTTCTGTTGATAATGTGGACAGCAGCGGAGACGGCTTCTGTCCACAAATTCTTCGGTAAACCGGATCCCAGCAAGAGACATCTTGCTTTTTCCATCAGCGTTCGGTTGTACCTTTCCGCCACTCCGTTAAGTTCTGTCGTGTAAACTATGGTGTATTCCAGTGAAATTCCTTGGTTTCTGCAATGCTGTTTCAGATCTTCTCCAATGTACTCTCCGCCATTGTCACATCTGAGGCGGCTGATCTTTAAGTTGAAGCGGGCTTCAGCTGAGGCTTGGAACACCTTCAAACAGTCAAGCACTTCAGACCTACGCTGGATGCAAAACACTACAGCAAAGTGGGAGAAGTCATCAATGAAACTGCAAGCATACCTTTTTCCATCATAAGACTCTTGGTTGACAACAGCAACATCGCTGTGGATGAGTTCCAAAGGTCTCTTTCCTCTAATTCTGGTCTTAGAGTGTGGGAGCTTGGTTTGCCTCCCTTCCTGGCAAGTACCGCAGACATCCTTGGACTTGACTTCCTTGATTCCTTCAACCATGCCTTCCAGCTTCTGAAGTGTTTCCTTAGGTAAGTGTCCAAGTCGTTGGTGCCAGATTTCCTGCGATTGGGCAGTCAGGTTGGCAGTTGCGGGTCTGGGAAAGTTGATGAAGTACAGTTTCCCATACAGCTTTCCCATGGCAACTGTCTCTCTCTTCTTGGATAACAGTGGAGACATGATCTCAACCATTGCATCACCAAAAATTACTCTGCCTCCTGCCAGATCAAACCTGCTTACAGAGAGTAGATTAGCATGTAAATCAGGCACAAAAAGAACATCAGACAGGGTCAATTCAACAAGTGCCCCCTTGACATTCATTACAGCACGTATCTTGCCCTTCTCTGTGGCATACATGCTTTGTCCGCTCTTTGCAGATTGGACGATCACGGGCTTTGGCAAAGGTTCCTTTTCTTGAAGCATTGAAGCATCATTACAGAGATGATCAGACGAGCCTGAATCAATGCAAAACAATGCGCCATCTTGAGTGTGGAGAGCTTGATAGCAGGCGGCTTCTTGAACTCTTCTCGCTCAGTGGCATAGTAAACTATCTCAGGCAGCACAGTAGCAGAAAAGCAATAACTTCTTAGCGTACTTTGTGGACCATTGCTGGTACTACTTACAGGCTTTGTTGAAGTGTGCTTTGCTTGAGCATGCAACGGAGGTCCACTGTACATGGCCTGGGCTACTTCCTCTTCCTCTTCCTCAGCATTGGCTCCATAAGTTCTTGGCTTCTGGTTCTTGTCACAGTCAGATCTCCAGTGACCTAACTCACCACAGTTGTGACATGGGAACCTGTTCTTCTTGTTTGGAGCGTTGGGTGCTTTATTCTGCCTACTGTGGTACTGCTGCTTGGGAGGGCCACTTTGCTGGTGCTGAGTCTTGTGCTTGGCATGCACAGCAAATGACACTGCATTGTTGTTGTTCGGGGTCTGTACTTGAGCCTTCCCTTTGCTGCTGCGCGCTGAGAAGAACAACATCTTGGCTTCTTCGTCTCTTAGTCGACTCTTCACATTCTCCAAAGTCAGCTGGTCATCCTTCATGGTCTCGATGGCTGTGGTCACACCCTTGTACTCACGGGGTAGACTCAACAGGATGTACATAATCTTGTCCACGTCGGAGACTTCACGGCCAGCGTTGGTGAGCTGTCGAAGCAGACGGTCGATCTTGGGGAAGTGCTCTTCTAGAGTTTCACACTCACGGTTGTGCCCGGGTTTGGGCCCGGGGACAGGGCTGCATCATGACGGTCATCTGCGAAGCTAGACTCTTCCTCTGGAAAGTGTCACTCAGTTTCTTCCACAGTTCCTTGGCAGTAGTAGTGCCCATTCCATAGGACACGTGGGACTCGGCCAACCTTTCAATAATCTTGTTCCGGCAGATGGCATCGTTCACGAGACGTTGGTTGTTCCTCTTCTCTCGTTCCGCTGCCTGTGCTGGGGTTTCCTCGGCCGGCGCTGGTTCTTGTTCCGGTACATTGTCGAGGTAGCTCTCCAGTCCCGGGATCGGAGGTAGCACTTCACGCGAAAACTCCAGGTTTCATAGTTCGTACCGTCAAACGGCAAAATTTTTCTGTTTTTTCCCTTTGGACATCCGGTTTCGCGATGCACAAGTTTCCTTTTCTAAGCGTTATGGATACAAATCTCTGGGCCCATAACCTGTTGCAGAGTTGTAACTTTCTAATTTCTGAGTTCCAAGTTTCGAGTCACAGTTTGTTCCAAGGCTGAATGAATAACAGACTCGTTTCACGTTTTCCTGATGACTGATTTATTTGACGGCATTTGAACGCAAAGTAAACATCAGTGAGAAGAAGTGGGGAATACATACAAAACAAAAGCAACACGGCAGGGGCCAACTTCGACAAAAAAAATTTAGCAAAAAAATATGAAAAATTTAACCAGAAGTCTAGGCCATTTCGTATCAAACAGATAAAAATATAGTTTATTTCTTATGAGACACTTTATCGACATACAGAAGAAAAACACATTAAAATGTAGTTGAAATGTACAAACATTTCAAACGTGTGACATATGAAGTAATATGCATTCATTATCCTAAGATCTTAATTATTATTTACATAATTGCTTTTCTCGCCATTACTCTCGTTCTTGCATTTATTTGATGGCGTTCTTCTTGTGCGAACTGGTCACCGTGTCCAGCCTCTTCTTGATGCCCCTCAGCATGAGGCCCTGGGCGGGGGAGTCGTGGTTCTCGGTCAGGGGCACGTCATCGGCGTCCATGACCTGGACACAAAGAGAGATGAGAACGTTGCACGGAGGAGGTTAACTCACCACCGCTTCAACTTCTTTGATTTTGACTCTCACCTGGACCAGGAACATCCGGCGCACCCTGTTGGACTGGTTGAGGTAGCTGCCGTGCACCAGCGTGTAGGGGAAGATGACGATCTCGCCCTTCTTGGCGGTGATGGGGGTGGCGCCCTCGATGGGGAACCTGGCGGGGTCGCACCAGTGGAAGGCGAGGCCGTTGGTGATGTTGGTCTGCGAGGGCAGGGGGCCCAGCTTGTGGGAGCCGGGGTACACGCAGAGGCCGCCGTTCTCGGGGGTGGTGTCGTCCATGTGGAGGAACACCGCCATCAAGGAGTGCTTCTTGTGGGGGAAGTAGGGGTAGTCCTAGGGGCCAGGATTTTGGTTATTTTTTATGTTTTTAGGCTTTAGCAGATTTTACACCAAAATTTCTAACTAGTCGCCTAGTGGTATCGAAGGAAATCACCTTAAAGCGACTGAACAGCCTATTTCTGGGATCCAATGCCTTTAAAAAAATCTTCCTACCTGATGCATGAGGTAGGGAGCTCCGTTCTCCGTGGGCTTGATGTGCGCCTTGGTGTGGTGCAGGGCGATGTTTGGGGTTTCCATGATGTCCTCCAACGCGTCGAGCAGTTTATCGTTCATGAGGAACTTGAGGAACTTGTCGGAGAACATCTGAAGGCCATGGAGCGACAAAACCTGCAATAGCAGTGAAAGAATGAGATCCCAAAGGCACACACTCTCATTTTTCAGGTGAAAATAATCTTCGTTTTTGGTACTTACGGCGACTTTCTTGTTGTTGGCGGCCTTCGACATGTCCTCGCCGATCCAGGTCGAGTCCATGTCGTCGTTGGCCTGCAGGCGGAACAAAAGGTCATACTCCTCGGACAGGGCGTCGATCTCAGCCTTCTCCAGGACGTTGATCTTGATGAAGCCATTGTCCTTGTAGAACTGGACCTCTTGGGGAGTCAAGAATTTCGGCATTGTGACTGTAGATGCAAGACAGAAAGAAACCTTTAAGAGAAAGGACACAGTGTCGAATTGAAAAATGCATTCTCTGAACACAGACTAGCTCTTTAGTTGTTAGAGTGCTGGGTCTATGCTTACCGGTTGGATGCGTTGGTGCTTCTGTGTGCGTTCGACTGCCGACTGGTCGCCGAGCCCTCTGGGTTTCAAACTTATATCACCAAGAGATTAATTGGTCAGCGGGGGCGGGAGAAAGACGAGAAGCCGTACTTGCGCTCTATCTCTCTCTCTCTCTCTCTCTCTCTCTCTCTCTCTCTCTCTCTCTCTCTCTCTCTCTCTCTCTCTCTCTCTCTCTCGTTCGTGTCAACCCAGGGCCCTGTAGTTCAGCACTGAATCGGGGGAAAGGTCAAAGCAGATAACAAGCGCTGTCGCCGCACACTGCACTGACTTTAGAAAGCAGGGGAACGCAGAGAGATCATTCGGGAACGGTATCAGTGGAAAGCAGCCCAGCTCGCCATTCAAGGTCGTATGGGAAAGTTGTGGCATTGTCATCAACGGCTCTGTTGTTTACTTCACGTCAAGGACAAGCTCATTTGCTTTCCTGGATGAAAAAATGGACATCTTGCTTTACTCTAAAACACTTTTTTAAATTCATGCTTTTTAAAAATTTTCGAAAAAATTGGTTTATTAGCAAACTGGTTTTGAAAGTTTTGCTGATTTGGAATGAAACTTGGTATGAAAGCAGCACGAAGCAGTTCTTCCTCTCCATGTTTGCACAAGGCCGTCGTACGTAAAACAGCAACGCTCTCTGACCTCTCAACTCAGATTGCGAGTGTTTTTATGGCGTGTGTCACAACGGCGGATGAAAGGGTGAAAGTCAGGACCAGATAACAGATTGATAGGAGAAAGGCGAAAGAAAGTTTCACCAGTTCTTCTTTTCGTTTCCTGTTTTTGTTTTCAGTTTATTATTTTTTGACAGGAGAGAGTCGGGTGTGGAGAGGAACGGCACTGGGAAGAGGCAAGTGAGAGGCAACCGAGAGAGGCAAGCGACAGGCAAGCGAGAGGCAACACCGCTCTGTTTGAATGGCGCCGCTCTGCGCGGGAACCCGACGGCGGTGGTGCTTCGGCGCGCCGCCGGCAGATGGCGCTGTGGTCGAGTCTCTGGAGCGCGGCGGCGGGACGCGGCGCGGGGAGCGCGGGGCGGGGAGGCGGGGTGGGCCGCCGCCGCGACGGCACGGCACGGCAGGCACGGCACGGGGACGGCCGGCGGCCGGTAGCCAGGCAGCGCCAGCAGCCGCGCCGCCCCGCCAACAGCCAGCCAGTCTGCGTTTGCCGCCGCGCCGTGAGGGACTGCGTCGGGCTGCGTCGGCGCGCAGCGTGGTCCCGGACATCGTCGCGTTGCTCGTCGCGCCGTCGGCCGGCGTCGCGGCGTCCCGGTCGCCGCCATGGAGGACGAACTCCGGTGCGGCGTGTGCAAGCAGCTGTACAACAACCCGGTGCTGCTGCCGTGCGCGCACGCGCTGTGCCTCAACTGCGCGGTGCACCTGCAGCAGGCCAGCACCTCGGCCGCGCTGCCGCCGCCGCCGCCCTCCCTCGCGCACAACCATGACGGCGCCGACCACGCGGCCGCCACGGCCTCGTCGGCGGCCTCCACGTCGTCGGCCTCGTCCAGCACGGACAGCGCGGCCTCGGCCAGCGGCAGCGTCGCCGGCAGCGACATCCTGCAGGACATGGACAAGCTGTCCATCCTGAGCGAGACGGACAGCGGCGTGGTCTGCACCAGCAGGCCTAACAGCTACGTCGGCACGCCCAACAACATGACCCTCCTGTTCCCGCCGCTCGCCACCGCCGCCGCGCTGTCGCTCGCCTGCCCCGCGCCCGGATGCGGCAAGCTGGTGTACTTTGACGAGAACGGCGCCCACAACCTGCCCAAGTACCGCGCCATGCAGTCCATCGTGGACAAGTACTGTGAGGCCAAGCAGCTCGTCATCCACTGCCAGCTGTGCGTGGCCGAGCCCGCCAACGAGGCCACCGTCATGTGTGAGCAGTGCGAGGTCAGTACACTCGAAAATGAAGCGCCGCCGCCCCAACGCCCCACAGTGGGGAACGCCGGTGGAGGCGGCCAAAACTCCTAGACGCGTTTTGAGCTTCAGAGTCGCTAATCAGGGCTCGAACCGAACGTGTGACCCTACCAATGGATTGCTCTCCGAACGAGGAATCCATTGGTGGGGTCACACGTTCGCTTCGAGTCCCAGCGACTCTGGAGCTCAAAACGTGTCTAGTTTTGGCCGCCTCCACCGGTCTTCGGGCCCACTGTGCGCCCCTCAGCCATCGACAGTCGGATTACCAGTGCAGTGTCAGTGCTCAGTGCCGCGAGTGTCAGTCCAGTGTCAGTGAAGTGAAGCCAGTGTGGATTTGTCAGGACTTACCGACTGCCCGTGCCGAAAGGATTCATTTGGATTACCGCTTCCGCCGTGCCAGTGTACCCGCTCGGCCGGAAAGTTTGTCAAAGTTCGCTTCCTTCCAGAGCAACGGCCTTCCGTCCTCCGGGACTCTCCATAAACCAGTGGAGGGGGCGGCGCTTCTCTGAAATGCATGCGCAGGCTAGGTTAGCCCGGCCACCGCGGTCCGAGGGGACGGGGGCGGACGGGGGTCCCCGACCAGGCGACGACCCCTCGGCTTATCATTCGCAGCAGCCTCCCCCGGCTCTCCCTCTCGCACTCGCGGGCCGCCCCGTGCTCGTTACCTCGTTGCTTATGCTCATGTCAACACTCGCCTCGAGGACTCTTCGCAAAAGGCGGAAGACTTTCATTGTTTTTCTTTTGGCGCGAACCGTCCCACGCCCTTCAGCACTCCCCCTGCCTGCTTTTAGCTGAGCAGCGTTCTCTCTCTCTCTCTCTCTCTCTCTCTCTCTCTCTCTCTCTCTCTCTCTCTCTCTCTCTCTCTCTCTCTCTCCCTCTCTCTCTCTCTCTCTCTCTCTCTCTCCCTCCGTCTCCCCTCTCCCCCCCCCTTTTTCTCTCCCTCTCTCCGCCCCTGTCCCTGGGACAGCACAGAGACCAAGGTGCACTGCTTCTAGACTCGATCATAAAATCGGATCTATGAAGCGCTTAGTCCCAGCGCCTTAGTCGCTCCCCTCCCCTTTTTCTTCCCTCCCCTCCCTCCGTCCTCCCCTCCCGTCCCTCCCCTCGTCCCTCCCTCCCCTCCCCTCCCGGCCGGATGAATGAGCCGAGTCCACGTGCGCGCGCCTCGTTTTTTCCCTGCTCGGTGCAGCGGACTGAGCCGTCTCTCTCGCTCTGGCGGGCGGCGGGCGGCCCGTGAGGGTGCGAGGGAGACGGCGGCGGCGGCTTGCGGTGCAACGCGAGTCGCGCGGCGCGTTTGCCGTCTCGTCTTCAAAGGCAGGAAAGCGGCCGGGAGGGTCGCTCTGTCTCTCTCGCACCCACGTGGAGCGCCTCGGGGGTGCGAGAGAGACAGTCTTGCGCTCACATTTCGCCACGCGTTTTTATATGGGTTTTCGACAGTGTTTTCGAAATTTTGTGCTAGTGTGTGCTCTGCGCACCTCGGTGTTCCGGGCTGTGTCGGTGACAGTATTACGTAATTGATTGCTCGGGGCGGGGCGGGGCGGGGCGGGGCGGGGCGGGGCGGGTTAGCTCGTTGCCCCGCGCTTGTCGTGCGTGAGCTGTCACAATGGAGGTGCTCCTCCTGGGACGCGGCGGTACGCGGCGGCGAACTGCATCCGAAATGGGCTCGCCTTTTAATGAACAGTGGCCGGGACTTTCGGGACGCAGCCCCGCGGGGAGCGATGAGCGCACCGCACCTTGGCGCCGTTTCGCCGATAATCACCGTCCCGGGTTCGAATCCCGCACGGCTTCGGCGGGGATTTTTGTTTTTGTCGTATCTCTTTTTCGCCGAACCCAGCCTTCCAAATTAGTTTGCGCTCCAAAAACGTCGTCGTCGATTTTTCAAAATGGTCAACCTGATTTATTTTCGCTGGTGGTATTTTTATGTTTTGCTTGATAAAGTCGTGAAGCCCTGTTTTTCCCCCTCCCACGTGGTAGTCCAAACAACACCTGCAGCGCCGTGACAGTGGTATTGGTTACGGCCAGCGCGCGCGCGCGCGCACACACACACACACACACACACACACCACGGTAATTTACTGCAATTTATTTCTCCACGTGTCGTTAAATTGATGTGTATCAAGCAGCCGCAGCAGCAGTGCGGAGGGAGCTAGGGTGAACAGCTCGCGCGCGCCACGACTACTTTGTATCGGGAAAAGGGGGAGAGAGAGGGAGAGGGGAAGGGGAAAAGGAGGGGGTAGTAGACTGTGAGGCACAGCCTATCACCTGGCCCTTGGCAGCCCTTGGCCTTCGCTAGGCGCGTACGGCTGCAGATGGCTCAGCTGTTGTACTAGTCCCTCCACACACGGCACGCGTGCAGCTGGGCCAGACAAACCCTCGAGGTGGGGGGGGGGGGGGGGCAGGGGCCGTCGCCCGAGCTTTGTGGCCAAACAAGAACATCAACAACAAGAAAGGTGAAGCTCCTCGGGCCGCCACAGACGTGCATGACGAGGCATACCAATCAGACGAGTACAGAGAGTCCCGCCGAAATTCATACATGGCGAGATCTGAGGGCGCGCGGAGGGAATGCCCGATGACAGGACAGACAGGACGGAGCATCGCACACTGCGATAAAAAAAAATTGTGGTCACTTTATGAGGAAATTGGGGACGGTATTGTTTTTGTGCGTGCTGCGTGCACACCGTCTAGCAGTGTAGTCGCTGACTCGGACCCGCGACCCAATCGAAGGGCCCCGAGGGTCGTCTTCGCCCTGCGTTTCGCGAATAATAGGCCGCCAGACTAAAGCCACCCCTTCCGGAGTGAGGGGCGGCACTCTGTCTCTCTCGCACTCGCGGGGCGTTCACGTGCGTCGTAGGGGTGCGAGGGAGAGAGGCGCTAACCAGGCCGCGCTCAAGTTGCGCAATCAGAGAGAGAGAGAGAGAGAGAGAGAGAGAGAGAGAGAGAGAGAGAGAGAGAGAGAGAGAGAGAGAGAGAGACCTTCTTTTCCGGCTTCTCAGGTGGGCCGAGCAGGGACAGGGTGGGCGGCGAACAGGGGCCACCAACTTTTCATTGAACGGCGACCGAAATTGAGAAAGCACGGACTTCGCGAGGGTGGCTGCACTGCCACGACACGAGAGAGAAGGGAAAAGGGGGGGGGGAGGGGGGTAGCTTCCTCGTGCCCCAACGTTATTGCATTTCGTATGAAAGAATTTGCCACCACTGTTGGTTTATTGGGGCTGTTGGCTTTTCTAGTTCGTTTCCTTGTCTGTTCCTCTGCCAGTCTCTTCACGTACCGCCGCGCTGTGCTTACGCTGTGCCGCTGTCCGCTGGCGCCGTCTCGCACATTCTGCCTCCCTCTTCACTCCCCCCTCCCCCTCCCCTCCTAATCCAAGACGCGTCGCCGATTTCCCGGTCGCATCGATCGACGTGGTGCTTGATCCTGATGAGACAACTTGTCTCCGCGTAGGCCGGCCTGTTTTGGGGAACGGCCATTACTTCCCTCCCTCTCCCCTCCCACTCCCACCCCCCCCCCCACCCCACCCCCACGGCCCTACCGCATGTGGGCAGCACCCCTATGCGGACCGCAGAGTCATCGCAATCAAATAAACGACGGTCGGGACAGGGTAGGCCGACGAGAGAGCCCAGTGGCGTAGCAGGGCGACCGAAGGAACTGCCCAGTGGCGTAGCACAACAAGGCAGCACAGTGGGCGCGGCCAAAACTGTAGACGCATTTTGAGCTCCAGAGTCGCTAAATGGGACTCGAACTGAACGTGTGACCCCACCAATGGAATGCTCTCCGAACAAGGAATCCGTTTGATGGGGTAACACGTTCGGATCGAGCCATTTCGCGACTCTGGGGGCTCATAACGCCTGCGGGGTTTCGTCGGCCTCCATACCGGTCTTCTGGCTAATCCACGGTGCAGGCGTACTGAACGGTGAGCAGTGCATGGAAAGCAAGGCCACATTTGTCCGGGCCCCGGGAATTTACACGTTCTCGCCCTAAATCAACGTCCCGCCGAGTGATTTGTCTGCGCGCCACTCGAGCCGCCTCCGCACTCCGTTACGCCACCGTAACGCCGCGAGGCCTAATTTGCAATGGCACACCGTGAAAAAATGGGCTACGCCACTGAGAAATGAGCAGCGAGAGCAGATGTGGCAACAGCGCGCGTGATAAGGCAGCAACACAGTGTGTGCAACCCCCTGGCTGTGTGCATCCTGTCCCTCCCACTTTCTCAATTGCTCAACCCTCCCTCTCTCTGTCTCTCTCTCTCTCTCTGTCACTCTGCCTCCCTTGAGGGATGGATGGATGGGGTAGGGCAGGGGTGTGATGCGGCACCTCGCGGCCTTGCGTCTGAATCGGTGCGGGTTGTGCCACATTGTCTCCTCTTGTTCTTCTTGTTCTTCTTGTTCTTCTTGTTCTTCTTGTTCTTCTTGTTCTTCTTGTTCTTCTTGTTCTTCTTGTTCTTCTTGTTCTTCTTGTTCTTCTTGTTCTTCTTGTTCTTCTTGTTCTTCTTGTTCTTCTTGTTCTTCTTGTTCTTCTTGTTCTTCTTGTTCTTCTTGTTCTTCTTGTTCTTCTTGTTCTTCTTGTTCTTCTTGTTCTTCTCGTTCTTCTTGTTCTTCTTGTTCTTCTTGTTCTTCTTGTTCTTCTTGTTCTTCTTGTTCTTCTTGTTCTTCTCTGCGTGGACAGTTGATGTGTCAGCCCGACTGAAGATCCTCCCCTGCATCCGATCGGATGAGAAAACAAAAGAAAAATGGCGGTTGAATTGTGAAACGACTTGCGCCAGCCACGGCGCCACGGCCACTACTAGGCCCGGATTTATCTGGAAGCGAATCCCTCTCGGTGTGACAGCTTCAGCCTTTTTGCATTAAGACGCCCCGGGACGACAGTTGACGGACGGAGGGCCTTGCCGGGGTAGATAAGCTGAGGTGAAAGCATTTCCCAGTGTGTGGCGCGGGGGCGGCGTGGGGGCGGCGTGGGGGCGGCACCCTGATACGCGGGTCGCCCCCAGGCGTGTTGGGGTTGGCCCCGTTGGATGTGAGCAGCCTGCTGAGGCACTACATAAAAATTTGTCGTCCTTTTAAGACAGTCACAAATTGACGAAATTTTCATCGATGTTCCTGCACTGGATTTCTTCGGGTTCCGGCAGGAGTGCACTTTTCCGGGTGCGGGCGACGGAAGGGTGAGGTCCAGGCTGGAAGCAAAGCCTTGCCTTGCGGTGTAGCGGCTCTGCAGGTGGCTGTGGCGTGGGCATGGAACCTTGCCGCGCCAACAAGCCAAAGGCCGCCAAAGGCACGGCCACGCGGCCAGCGGACTGATTCCGAGAGCCGTTTTCGTTGCTCTGGCTCTGCGGCACCTATGGGACGCCCCGCGGGTGCGAGCGAGACGGAGCGACGTGTCCTTGTGCTTCGCGGTGCACGCGCGGCAGCACGCCAGGCACGCCATCGGGCAGTACGGGGAACAATTACCCGCCAGGCGTGCGTGTCCACTCGGTGTGCGAGACACACAGTGGGCCAGAAGGCCAGTGGAGGCGGCCAAAACTCTAGGCGCGTTTTGAGCTCCAGAGTCGCTAAACAGGACTCGAACCGAACGTGTGACCCCACCAATGGATTGCTCTCCGAACGAGGAATCCATTGGTGAGGCCACACGTTCGGTTTGAGTGCCATTTAGCTCAAAACGCTGCCGGAGTTTGGGCCGCCCCCACCGGTCTTCTGGCCCACTGTGAGACAGCCTGGCTGCTAGTGAGTGAGTGAGTGCGAGTGCGCGGCCGTGTTTCGGCGACGGCGACGGATGGGACCTCTGGCCGCGTCGCGCCTCACACCAGCATCAGCCCTAGCGGCCCTAGCCTCTCTGCAGAGCTGCCTTGGTTAGCGTCCGGCCGAGGAGTGCTTTATCCTGCTTACCGCCGTCTCCAGAGCACTTCGCCAGGCCAAAAGCATTTCGTTTGGCCGAAAATCTTTAAAATTATAGAGAATATATGGTTTACATGCAATTACATGCAAATCTTGACGACTTTCAGCCGCCTTTGCGTTCGATCTAGCTCAGCGGTTCCCAACCTTTTTCGGCTCGCGACCCCAAATTTGTAGCCAAAAATTTACGCGCCCCCCAGGAAAAATTTCGCGACCCCACGCGACCCCTCCTTTAGCATGCCTTTGATACAAAGTGCGATAATCCGCCTTAGTTTGGAAGCAGTATTGTCTCAAAGTTGATCAAAACGGACACAAATGTCTGAAAAATCGTGTTTTGGGCCGACTGGGCGGTATGTCGTCCTCCCTCAACGGGCAGTTGGTCTTTGGGCCTTCCTTTTGCATACCTTTGATACGGAAAGCGATTATCTGCCTTAGTTTGGGAGCAGTATTGCCGCAAGGTTGATCAAAACGATTACAAATGTCTGTTAAAAGTCGTGTCTTGGGCCGACTTTAAGCATCCACTGCGTCTGATCCGAGGCGGTATTTCGTCCTTCCTCAACGGGCAATTGGTCTTTGGACCTTCCTTTAGCATGCCTTTGTTACGGAGTGCGATTATCTGCCTTAGTTTGGGAGCAGTATTGCCGCAAAGTTGATCAAAACACGATTTTTCAGACATTTGTGACCGGTTTGATCAACTTTGCGGCAATACTGCTCCCAAACTAAGGCAGATAATCGCACTCCGTAACAAAGGCATGCTAAAGGAAGGTTCAAAGACCAATTGCCCGTTGAGGGAGGACGAAATACCGCCTCGGATCAGACGCAGTGGATGCTTAAAGTCGGCCCAAAACACGATTTTTCACAGACATTTGTGACCACCGCGGGAAACCACCGCGACCCCGCGACCCCAGCCACCTCACCGCGACCCCTCGAAATTTTTTCGCGACCCCATTTGGGGTCGCGACCCTAAGGTTGGCAACCGCTGATCTAGCTGCTGTCGAAGGCCTCCCTCAACGCCCTCGTACTCTTTCGTGCTCCGCCTCGGGACGGGAAGGCTTTTGACTACAACGATTTTGGGACCAGCAACCTCACAAAGTTGCTCAAAGAGTGATTGAATCTCCGAAAGTAGCCGTTTTTGCTGACTTTGGGCGGCCACTGCGTCCAATCTAGTTGAGGCCATAGGCCTCCCTCCTACTGTTTCGTGCCCCGCCACGGAAAGGCTTTGACTGCAACGATTTTGAGACGTTTTGAGACCCGGCGGGACCCAGTAACCTCACAGAAACTGACTGAATGGTGATTGTTGCAGGTGCTGTACTGCGACGGGTGCCGCGAGGCGTGCCACCCTGCGCGCGGCCCGCTGGCCAGACACACGCTGCTGGAGCCGCGGCAGGGCAAGGCGGCGCTGCGCACCAAGCTGGGCCGCGGCGACGCGGCGTGCGCCGACCACGCCGACGAGGCCCTGTCGCTGTACTGCCTCGTGTGCCGCGCCGCCGTCTGCGCCCTGTGCCTCCACGACACGCGGCACGCCCACCACGACGTGCAGGCCATCAACGCCATGTGCAAGGCGCAAAAGGTGAGTGTGTGTGTGTCACTGTGTGTGTGTGGCCGTCACTCCAACTTACTCACGCCGAGGGCCGATAGGGCCCGACGCGGTCATCGGCGATCATTTGCGTCGAGTGACAGAGAGACAGGCGTCTCTCTCTCTCTCTCTCTCTCTCTCTCTCTCTCTCTCTCTCTCTCTCTCTCTCTCTCTCTCTCTCTTCTCCCTTTCTGTCACGTCACCCAGCGCAACGTGCCGGCCGAAGGACCCCTCCCCGTGTGACGAATCCGTCTCCGTCTCAGTCATCCGATGACGTCGCCGCGCGATGTGCCCTATGATGCCCCGTGTGACCTTTTTGGAATATTCAATGCGGCCGCGCCGTTTTTGACTGTGTGTGTGTGTGTGTGCGCGCGCGCGTGCGTGCCGTGTGTGTGTGTGTGTGTGTGTGCGTGCGGGTGTGTGCCGTGTGTGTGTGTGTGTGTGCGCGTGTGTGTGTGTGTGTGTGTGTGTGTCGGCGTGTGCTTGACAGCGTGCCGGCTGGAGACTCCAGCGCGGGGCTGCGCGGGGCCCCCAGGCTGAAGTACAGGGGCTGCCCGGACGTCTCACTCACGCCCTGCCCGCAGCACTGCTCTCGTCGCTCCGTCTCGCTCGCACTCACGGAGCGCTCCGCAAGGGTGCGAGAGAGAGAGACAGTGGTGGAGGTCCGGCGGCCCCACCGCCTCCCCGCCCGAAACTTTGCCGTTCAGCATTGGAAATGACTGAGAGGGCGGTGCGTCTGCGCGGCCGTGTCGGGGAGCATTGCCACATCTGGACTTGCCCGCGGACTCCACGACGCCTCAAAATGCATGCGGTTCCCTCGGGCCGTGTCGCCGAGAGGGTTTGCCATCTGGACTTCCCTCGAGTCTGTGCCGCGCAAACTCTGTTTCAAAATGCGCGCGCGCGCTCTCTGCGATTCGCGTCCCTGGCTGCTGCCGAGAATGAAAGCAATTATTCGAACGTTAATGAATGTTGAATGCGTTGAGTTTGGTTGAGGTGGGGCGGGGCGTCATTACGTTGCAAACCGCGGCGCTATGCCGCCGCTGCCGCTGCCCGTCCCATCCCATTTTGCGCCCCGAAACCGCTTCCCGCTCACTTCCCGCTCAGCCAGACCGCACCCCAGACCGCAGCCCCTCCCCCCGCCCCTCCCCCAACCCCGGCAAGCCACCCCGGCAAGCCACCCCGGCGACAACCGGCGGCGCCCTGCACCTCACCGGGGCCTTTCCGCCGCCCTCCCATTCGATTCCGTCCTCTTCCTCTCCGTTCCCCATCCTTCTCCACCCCCCGGCCCCCGGCCGCCACCATGCCACCCGTCCTTGTCTCGACTCGGACCTCAGCTCGTTGCGACCGCGGAGTCCACCGTGGTTGTCACAGGTTCGTCCCTGACTCCAAACACACCTTGTCCCACCACCCCCCGAAGCGTTGCATTCAGAACCAACGCGAATTTCACCCTCCTCCTTTTACAAAGTTTAAAACTTAGATTGAGAGTCGGCGAATCAACCGCGAGTTGGAAGTGCATAGCGTCTGGCGCGGCACTCTGATTGGCACGCTGTGAGCAATCCGGGGCGGAGTGCAGCGGGGCCGGCCGAAGCCGCGTGCAAATACAAATAGAAATGCATTTGGCGCCATTATTGGGTGCCTGTCTGTCTGTCTGTCTGTCTGTCTGTCTGTCTGTCTGTCTGTCTGTCTGTCTGTCTGTCTGTCTGTCTGTCTGTCTGTCTGTCTGTCTGTCTGTCTGTCTGTCTGTCTGCGTCCGTCCGTCCATCCGTCTGCCTGTCTGTCTGTCTGTCTGTCTGTCTGTCTGTCTGTCTGTCTGCTGGCCGAAGCGAGTCGGGGTACATTCCTCATTGCGTGGGTTGTGGCCGGAGCAGTACCAGTTGACTACCCGGACTGCATTGGCCGTTCCCCCAGATAAATCTGCTCGCCTATTTTCACTAATGTGACACAATCTGATTTGTGGCAGTGTAGGGGAGCGCCGCTTCATTCTCCACGAAGCTCCACGTATATTTCCTCGATGGGCTGGTGGGCCCTTCGGTGGGCCCTCGCACAGTGGGCCAGAAGACAGGCGGATGCGGCAGAAACTCTAGACGCGTTTTGAGCTCCAGAGTCGCTAAACAGGACTCGAAACGAACGTGTGACCTCACCACTGCATTGCTCTTCGAATGAGGAATCCGTTGGTGAGGTCACACGTTCGATCCGAGTCCCATTTAGCGACTCTGGAGCTCAAAACGCGTCTTGAATTTTTGCCGCCTCCGCCGGTCTTCTGGCCCACTGTGCGTCGGTGGGGCCTTGGTGGGGCCCGGCCGTGGTCGCGGCGCCGTGCCAAGCCATGACGCTCTATAGCCCGGGTCTTGGCGGTGAGCGACGCGTGAGAGAGACGGAGCGAGCGGCGGCGCGGCGAGTGCGAGAGAGAGAGAAAGAGGGTGCGGGTCATTATGACCCGGAACGCAGCAACTGCACTTGCTATCGCTGGCGCGCACTCGCAGTGGCGCGGCGTGGCGGTGCCTAACGAGACACGTGGCGGGGCGGGGCGGGGCGCGGTGGCGGGTCTTTCATCCACGTTTCACGGCCTGTTGAGCCCGGGATGGAAGCGAACTGAACCGAGCCAGACCCGCCACGCCGCGGGGCACTGCCCTGAGGGCTCCAAGTGCCGTGGGGCCGCAGGGCTCGAGTGCTGGCTCCGAGTCGAAGGGCGCAGGGGTAGCTGGCCGGGAGAAACCTCAAGAAAGCAAGCCCTTTGCCGGTTTTTGAGTGACCAGCAAAATTTTCCAGTGCGCGGAGGCAGGCAAAGCTCTAGACGCGTTTCGAGCTGCAGAGTCGCTAAACGGGACTCGAACAGAACATGTGACCCCACCAACGGGTTGCTCTCTGAACGAGGAATCCATTGGCGGGGTCACACGTTCGGTTCGAGTCCCATCTAGCGACTCTGGAGCTCAAAACGCGTCTCGAATTTCGGCCGCCCGTTTTCGGCCCACCGTGGAGCGAGCGAGACGGACTCGATCGCCGGCGTTAAACTGTCGTCAGGGTCCGGCGGGCTGGGCGCCGGAAGCTCATCTCTGGCCGGAGCCGGTCCGGCTGGAGTCCACTTCCGGTCTGGCCCGGGCCGGGCCCCGCGCGCCCCGCATCCATTTGTCCGATTTGTCGCTGGAAATCGAAAACGGGCCGACTCTCTATTGGCTGGCGCGCAGTTTGACGCTGTTGTTTGTTTAACTGTTTTACTGTGTTCGTCTGTTTTCCAGTGTGTCCCGACAGTGTCCCCAAACAGTGACCTATTTGTAGGCAGCCCTGGAATTGAAGGCGCCGCCCTCGTCGCCCCTTTTAAGGCTGACTTTAGATGGAGAGAGAGAGACAGAGAGAGACTCAGATGCAGTCCTCTTTCTTGACTGCAGTCGGCCTTGTGTGTGTGTGTGTGTGTGTGTGTGTGTGTGTGTGTGTGTGGTGTGTGTGTGTGTGTGTGTGTGTGTGTCAGGAAAAGAATAAAGGGGAGGGTGTGGGAGTGAGAGCCAGCACGGCGGCACCAGCTGCGACCGAACCGAGCACGTAGCGACGAAGCGCCCAGGCCGGCCCAGGCCCACCATACGTAACGCGGAGGCATAGCGGGCGTAGCCCGCATAGCCAGGCATAGCCAGGCCTCCCCCGCCAGTCACAATGCATTTCGATCGCATTCAATGCTAAGATGCACACGGCGTGAATGCCAGTGCGCCGTCCCCATGCCGGGCACGCGTCTCACACCTGACTCGTGCGCGGCTGGTGCACTGTGAGCAGTTTCGAGGAAAAGGGACTGCACCGCCACTGTCAAAGAGAGTCGAATCGACCGAAACTACGGCGTAACGTTTTTAATTGCTCTGTCCCTGTTGCTCCGTCAGGACAGCCCGTGAGTGCGAGAGGGACAGAGAGGGCGTTACGTAAATTGCGGACGAGCCCTGGGAGGGTGCCCCGGGGGTGGCGCGGGCCGCATCTGGGTGTTGTGGGGCCCGAGGTGTAGTGGCACGGCGTGGCGCGGGGTCGGCGAACTACTGGGGGTGGCCGGGCGACAGGGCCGCTGTGTGCCACACTGTGTGCCACTCCACTGTGCCGCCGCTGCGCTCTGCGTCCCCAAGTCGTGTACAGCCGGAAGCATTGGCCGGCCCACTGTAAGTAGGGGCCGCAGGGCCGGGGTGTGATGGCCTTTTAATTTAGCCCGCGCTGCGCGACACACAGTGGGCCCGAAGACCGGTAGGGGCGGCTAAAACTCGAAACGCGTTTTGAGCTCTAGAGTCGCTAAATGGGCCTCGAACCGAACGTGTGACCCCACCAATGGATTCCTCGTTCAGAGAGCTAATCAATGGTGGGGTCACACCGTGTGACCCAACTGAACGTGTGACTCACACGTTCAGTTCGAGTCCCGTTTAGCGACTCTGGAGCTCGAAACGCGTCTAGAGTTTTGGCCGCCTCCACCGGTCTTCTGGCCCACTGTGCGACGCTGGGCTGCACGATGTGGGTTGCGATAGGCGGCGCTGCCGGCGCTGCCGGCCCTGCCTAGGTGCCACTGACGCCAAGAAATGGATAAAGTCATCGTTGTTGTTCTTGTTTTTGTTGTTATTGTTGTCGTCCTGAACTCAAGTGGACTCCGACATGACTTACAGCCCATAGCAGTCAAAGCAGTTCTGTTGACCCGGCGGCGATCGGTGGACCGAAGTTAAGTCCATGTCCGAATGTGTGTCGGATTTTGTCGCGGACCGTGTAGTACAACACTCGGCGTGGTGGCTGCCGGGGCCTGAGTCTCTGTGTGTGTGTGTGTGTGTCCCTCTCTCTCATCAACACGGCTTCCTCCCCCGAAGCAAAGCCCGCCCCTGTCGGGCATTCCGGGACACGCGAACCATCAGACAAATGAATGTCGATTTACACGAGTGTTGAGCGAGCGAGCGAGAGGGAGAGAGCGATAGTGCGTGAGAGTGCGAACGATAGAGACTGCATGTGAGCGGGAGAGAGACAGAAAGAGGGCCCAGAAGAGAGTGCAAGTGAGAAAGAGGAAGCGCGTATTAGCGAGAGAGACAGGCGATTGTGGGGCACATGCAGACAAAGGGCCCCACGAGGGGAAGGGGTGGAAATTGCTCGTACGCTAGAATAAAAGGGAGGGGGGGGGGGTCGGGCCGTAACGAAGCAGTGTGGGGCATTAGCAGATAGGGGCATGTGTCGGCGCCACTCGCCACCGTTCGTGCAATATGTGAATGGCGGCGAAGCGGGCGAAGCGCGGCCAAGGGAAAGGATATCACAGATCGGCCGGAGGCCTTCCACGCTTCGGCCAGGCTTTGGGCGGTAAATTTAAATTTGATACCATGACTGTTGAGTAAATTTTGAAACTTTTTTCCCCACCGGTGTTGAGGTTTAAAATTATTTTCCCAAGATTCGCCCTTTGCAAGCTACTGCAAACACATCTCCCCCATTCTCTCTCTCTCTCTCTCTCTCTCTCTCTCTCTCTCTCTCTCCTCTTTTCTCTCTCTCTCTCTCTCTCTCTCTCTCCCCTCTCTCTCTCTCTCTCTCTCTCTCTCTCCCACTCGCTCACCGGCCTGCGGCCCTGCGCTTGACTCGACGCTGCCCGCGGACCGGACTGACCAAAACAAAACGCGGCAAGAGAGGGAAGTCATCGGGGCGCCTCGTTGCCTCGCTGCTTCGGCCCATTCGTCTCTGTCGCTCCGAGTCCCCGGCGAGCAATCTCTCATCGACGGCGGCGGGAAGACGGTCGTAGGCGCGCCGGTACGACCGGCAGTTGGCCGCTTGTTGGCGAACGCGCCTACACCGTGCAGGGCGTGCAGGCCGCCAGCCAGGGCGCACACTGTACGTCCGTATTGCAGCCGGGGGTTGCGTATCAGTGTACGCCCCACAGTGGGCCAGCCAGAAGACCGGCGCAGCCGGTCAAAATCCCGGACGCGTTTAGAGCTACAGAGTCGCTAAATGACACTCGAACCGAACGTGTGACCCCACCAATGGATTGCTCTCCGAACGAGGAATCGATTGGTGGGGTCACACGCTCGCTTCGAGTCCCCTTTTAGCGACTCTGGCGGTCAAAACGCGTTTTGAGTTTTGGCCGCCTCCACCGGTCTTCTGGCCCACTGTGCGAGGCCCTGCGCTGCGTTTCGCGGCGCTTCCTGCCGCCCCCAGGTTATGAATCTCCCCGTGCGCATTTTAAGAGCCTCGGTGCGGCGGAGCATGGCGGGGCTCGGCGGGGCGCGGAAGAAGTGACGGTGGAGTCCGGAGGGGCGCCAGAAAGAGATATTGCCCTTTTACCGTGTAGAAGCGACACCGCGTTGCACGCTAACAAATGTGAGTTAGGGTCCTATTAGCACCTTCCCCTTGCCGGTCTTCCCCCCCCCTCCCCCTGCAGGCCTGCACGGATGCACTGCAGCGCGTGGGCCTCGTTTAGTTTACTTTGTGCTATTTGCTTCAGCATTTTTCTCCCCACTGCGCCTCCGGCTCGTTCATTTCAGAGTCATTTTTTTCGGAAGTTGTCATTCTTGCACGTGTTGCTCTTCGCTGGTGGAAGTTTCAGCCCTGCGCATTCGTCTCTGGAATGCAACGGACGGAGTTACGTCGAGATAGCGGTGTTTCTGCCGCGAGTTCTGTTGAAAAGGTGGCTATGTTCGTGTCAGGTGCTTATGCCTCAGAATTTTGCACCCGAAACTGACACCACGGGGAAGCCCCTGGTTGATTGATTTTATTAGGATGCGCCTTGCGAAAAGTGCACGAAACGCAACGCACGCTGCCTCGGGACACGGGGCGAAGGCAATAAAGTGAATTGCTAAGAAGAAGCTGCTGTTATTTCGGCCCGCCTGCCTGTCTACACGGATTATTACCCAAGCTCTCGCAGACGGGCCACTCTAGTGCCTTCCAAAGTTACTTTTGGGACACCCCCGCCCGGAGCCCCTTCACAGTGCCTCTCCTGGGAGGCGGGGCGGGCCGTGGCGAGCTGACGGTGAGGTCCGTGCTCGCCATCTTTCGGACGCCTGCCCTTATGATTACGAGGCCACTTACCCTGTGTCCTGCGGGAAGGGCGGGCCGCTGGCGTGACCCTGCAGGATGACCAAGGGACACCAAGGACCTTCTAGGATGACCAAGGACCTCCTAGGGCGTTGTAGGGCCACCAAGGACCTTCTAGGGTGACCATAAGAACCTTCTAGGATGACGACAAGAACCTTACAGGATGACCAAGGGCCACCATGGACATGGGCCTTCTAGGTTGACCATAAAGGACCTTCTAGGATGACCAAGGGCTTTCAAGGGCCTTCTAGGATGACCAAGGGCCAGCAAGGACCTTCTAGGATGACCAAGGACCACCTAGGAATCCTCTAGGGTAGGATGACCAAAGGCCACCAAGGACCCTCTAGGATGACCAAGGGCCCACCAAGGACCTTCCAGGAGCCAGTGTAGGCCCACCACACGCTGACCAAAATGCCCCACCAAGGGGATAACCGGAGACAAAGTTGAAAATAATAAAAAGACAGAGTCGGACTGCGGAGTCCCCGGACTTAATAAGCTGAGCGGGGCTTTTGTGCGACGAAAATAATAACAACTCCGTGATTAATGTGGCGTGTCATTAGACGGTGGGAGGGAGGGAGAGAGAAGAAAAGAAAGAAGAAAAAACGAAGGCGGCGGACAAATCGGCCCGTCAGCCAATTTCTGTAATTATTTTCCCTGTCACTTCCCGGGGGCGCGACAGACACGGACCGCGACCTGTGGACTGATTCCGGAGAGACTGCCCGTCGTTCTGTCCCTCTCGCACTCCTGGGGCGTGCCGCACTCGTGCGAGAGAGACAGAGCGACGCTCCACCCTAACAAAATTTGGTGGGGCGCGAAGGGGAAGACACTGGCGAGGTGAAAGAACTCAACGAGGGGCGTCTCACCTGCAGAAACCAAATTGTTTGCCTCGCGGAAGTTAGGCTAACTCGGGGAGGACGGCACTGTACAGGCCAGACTTCTTGTCGCGTGCGAGCTGATTCGTTGGCCAGAGTCTTAAAACGCACCCACTGTTTTCATTTTGATACACGTCGAAGCAAAATTGACAGCCCCACATCGCGGGCCCATTCCATGCCGTTTGTCACGTCGGCAGCAAAAGGGCGAAGGGAAAGCAGGGAGGCCGAGCCAAGGGCCGCAAGGGCGCAGGGCAGTAGTATGACGGGGCGAGGGGTAATTGGTATTGGGGCAGCAAGATAGATGTCAGGGTGGACGGGCCGTCCTGGCAGGGCCCCGCCCTCCCCGAGGTGCCAATGAAGGCCAGTTTGTGAGCAAGCGGGGAAAACTCCCCAGAAAACTCCCGGGGAAACTCGGCCGTCCACGCAATCAGCCGCGCATCCAGCAGCCTCCCCTCCTTACGCTCTCTCTCTCTCTCTCTCTCTCTCTCTCTCTCTCTCTCTCTCTCTCTCTCTCTCTCTCTCTCTCTCTCTCTCTGCATCGGCGTCTAATCGAAACAAGAAGGGGACCTCCCCCGATCAGGTCCGCGTCGCCCCGCCTTTTTGGTGGGCGCGTCAGAAAGCACGGTTTCCGCTGGGACGGACTAGAAGCCATCTTCATTTTTCTTTCAGAGATTTTATTGCTTTTTGACCGACTTTGGGAGACTGGTGCTCGCAAACTATTTGTGGTTGAGACCTTCCCGAGGCGGGGCATGAAAGAGTAGGGTCTAGAGAGTACTAGGACGTGGAGGGATGCCCTTAACAGCAGCTAGTTTGGATGCAGTGGCCGCGCGAAGTCTGCCAACTCACCAGCTCTTTGGAGAGACTTACTCCGCGTCCCTCCACGCCACCCGAAGCGCTGAAGCGTCGCCTTGTTGTCTGCGCGTGTCTGACACACGACCACCGCTTGTGTTTGTCTTTCTCACGTTCTCCAGTT